GTTTTTGTTCCCTGTAACATGGTCGGACGGTTGGCCCACCTTCAACCACAACAAATCGATCGGACTGGTGGGCCCCGGTCTTTTCAACCTCTCCGACCCATTGAAAGCTACCTCGTGGTATGACGACTTCTCTGGGCACAAGCTCGACGAAGGATACTATGTAAGTCGTAGCCGCCCTCATCACCGTCACTCCTGCTAAAGCGCCGAAAACATAGTATCTCCGTACTCCTTACTCGCCATTCCATGCGCTTGTGAGGTCCGGGAAAAAGAGCCTCCTGCGCATTTGGGGCTCAGCCGTAGCATTGGGAAATCGCGACACGCCGTCAGTGCTTTTGAGGAAACAGACTGCGTTGAACCAGGTGTTCGAAACGACCGTTGATTTTGAGCCGGAAACCGCTCGGGAGGAGGCTGGTCAGTACCCCTATTGCTTCTATCATTTGGCGCTCGATAATAATATCTACCCTGCTTCTAGGTGCAACCATATTCTACTCCGACTTCTACCACGACGAGATCTTTGTATCTGGATGCCCTAACGCTACAACGCCTGCACGCTGCGTTGTACACCGCTCTATCTACCCCAACAACGCTACCGGCACACACGTCGTCGCCAACTTCACCGTCATCACCGAAGACGCCTTCCCCATTGCCGCAAAGGGGCCCGTGAAGTTGACGATCCAGGGCGAGGCTCTGCGCTACAACTTCGGCTACGCGGTAGGAAGCGACAACACCACCTGGGTTGGGTCCATCGATTCGGTCTGGCTTGTCACCCCGCCTCCCAAGTTCGTACCTTCTGCATTATTCGCGTGATGTACGCTTGACGCTGACTCGTGGTATGCAGCTACTCCATATACAAAGGGACACACTTTGGCTTGTACGCTACGGGAGGGAACAAGCCAATGGGCGGGAAGGTGGCAGACTTCCACTACTGGAACCAGCGCACGTATGCTCCTGACTATTGAACGGCTCCTCTCAATGTCGGGGAAGTCGCCACCCAACAAAACTCTATCTTAGTAGTTATCCAATGTGCAATTTGAACCTGTTAACAGTGTAGTCCACCTACTTGGTAGCCTGACAGCTTATAAGTTATACGAAATCCTTTCGACGACTTACAAGCACAAGCCAGATCATTTTCTGAAGGGAATTACACTTTAAATTGAGCACGTAGATAGAGCCTAGGTTAATGGTGCCATACTAGTTTTACTGCGAGGTGGAGGACCACAACAACAAGCAGGGAATGTAAGAGATTTATACGTATACGTTTCGGACGTGGAGGCCGCTCAAGCCCCCCTGCGAGTCAATCAACTGGCAGGATGTCCAAATCGCCATCCATATCCTTCCACGTTGAAGCCGGGGCCGGATGCGTAGCTGCCAAAGACGTTAACTCGGAAGTAGCGGAAAAACCCTCGCACTCACCTGGGGCCTGCGCATCCGTGCGGTAAACGATCATGCGCCATTGCTCCGCCCGCATCTTCGCAGTCCTACTGCGACTCATCCTCCAGCTCACCTTGCCCCCGGGAAGGTCGACCCCTTCCTGAGCCGTGAGCACGAACGCATCCCCTGCCCGCGGCTGTTGCTTTCCATCCAGGATGGCTGGCAGCGATGAAACTAGAGCCCGCGGATCCACGCTCTGCTTGTAGAACAGAAGACAGACCACAGGATCCCAAGCTGGGAGGGGATTGAAGATAGTACCTGGCATTTCTCGGTCGGTGGGCTTCACGACGGCCTCGTAGAGGCCGATGTCCGCGTACGACCTCGCGAAATCGGCCGGAAAGGGAATGGAGAAGGGCAGCCCCGCATGAGCAACAGCGAGGATGTTCTCAAATTCGGCGCGCCACAGGTCAAGGCGCACCTTACGGCGTGGTACACGCCTCGACATGTCCGACAACGGTATGGGCCACTTCTGTGTGTAAGGTCCGATATCCGTGACCAGGGTGTCGGAGAGAATACTCTGGAGGAACTCCGCCAGCCAGTGCGCCGGAAAGCCTACGCCGTGGAGGTGGATGAGAAGGTTGACGAATGTGACAAGGTTGTTTGGAAGGCGAGCACGGAAGGGGCCAGTGCCTGCCGTCCCTGGAATAATCGTGTACAGGAAAACACGCGTGAGCCAAGAGACAAGCTCTTCCCGTGAGGCCAGCTCAGAGGCTGGTCGAGGCAACTTGTTATTCCCTACCACAATGAGCCCCCATATGCCATCCTTTCTGTCTAGCCGGCAACCAAGATAACGTGGGACATCCTCCGGACGTAGAAGGGTATATCTAAGAGAACAGTAAGCGTCAACGATATATGTGCAGTCTTGAAGCTACCAACGTGTAGCAGAATTCATCGTCATTGCTCCAGATACCAGAATTTAGTAGACAATTTGACGCCACGGCGGCTATCTTCCCTTCTTGTATATTTGGGAGCGTGTAGAGGGCCGTATTCATCAATCCGTGAGTGTAATCCCTACCATTTTACGCACGTTCAGCATGTACTTTGCTCATAGGTCAAACTTGGAGCACTCACGGAACGTTACTGAGCCAAGCGCGCGTGTAAGACCGCGGAAACTCAGCTGGGCGACTGGTGTCGCCGGCGAAACGCATTTTCGACAGCTCCTGCGAGAGTTCCCCGCGCAATATCTCGAACGTGACGTGCCCAGACATAGCTTTCAAGGCGTCGATCACAGCGTCGAAAAAGTCTGTCGTGTGCGAGAATGCAGGAGCGTCCGGTTCTGTCGTTGTGCTAGTTTTACTTATGTCGAAACGGTCATTGAATTCCTCGATGCTCCGCGGTGCTTGGAATGCGTCCAATTTGAGATCGGGGTAGCGCTCGTATGGCTGCCCGAAGTCCTGCAATAAAGTCAGCGGGTCAACCAATGGTTTCGACAATGTACGAAGAAGTGAATTACGAAGAGTGTGATGTTGGGATACCAATCTTTCTCAATGTGATCCTGCAGCTAATGAAATCCACGAGTTTAGTGCCCTATAACAATACTGTGGAATAATATGTGCCGTACCTTTTTCTTGAGTGCTGCAGATAGCTTAGCCCCGCCTCTCATGCGAAGATACTTGTCGAAGCCGGGATGGCGGCTCCAGAGCTCTGATGGCGGGAGGAATGCTTTGGTGGTTTCGTACCACTTCTGCTCGCTGTCCATCTTTGCGGTGACATTGCCATCCAAATGTGCCTTGAGCATAACGTCGATGACGGCCTCGCGTCTGCTGTTCAGAAGATTCCGCCCCTGCGCCAAGGTCTCGCCGGGTTGGATAAGCCCCATAGCACGCATCTGAGCGTCGTCTAATGTGTCGATATATTCGCTGATTTGTTGGCGCTGCCTGTCCCTGTTGCTTTTCATGCGCTCCCTGTACTCGGGCGATATGGCGGGGTTGTCGAGTATATCCATGCTGGAGCCGGCGGTCTCAACTATATGATGCATGAGTGTGAGCTGTGTAGATTTCCGTGCGGACACCCATTTGTCGATGATGACCAAGAGGGCGGGAATGGATTCGCTGTCAACGTGGATCCATGCAGGAAGTCGGCGCAGCTGGGGCGTATCGGTCAGGAGACGTGCCTTTATGTCAAGCATTACAGCACGTAGTCTACACAGCATTGATATCAGCTAGCAGTGCATGCACGGAGGAAGAGGTGCGCACCGTTCATGACAGTAAGAGGGCAACACGACGCCAAGGTATGTGTAAAATATGGTCGCCTTGATCTCTACCTGTGAGACCGCATCCTGCTTTCCCTCGATAAGTGCATCGATGAGCATCATGATGCACAGATCGCGGACAAGGGCGGCAGGGTGTATGTCCAGAAGCGTCATGTGCAATTTGAATTTGTTTCGCTTTGACTTGTTCAGCGTTTTCCAGGCGCGGTGCGTGCCAATGACGGTCCCAAACGCATGGCGGGCTGTGAGGTGCCATCAGCCCTATTGTTGAGAGTCTTGTACCAAGTGCGTATATACATACCATCGCCAATTCCGCCAAACAGGAAAGAAATTTCCGACAGCCGTTCTACGGGAAGGGCATTCAACGGGAGAGGGTATGGATCCTCTGGGCCCCAGTCGTCCATCAAGGACATGACTTGGTCCTGGCCAATCTGCATGCCGATAGTCAGATCGCGGACAGGGACGGGTAAGATGGCACAAGTACCGAGTAGTACTCCAGGGTAGGAACTCTGATAGAGATTCATGAGATGGCGCTAGAGGCAGTCGAATGGGACGCACACGGCTTTTCTGGATGTCGGTAGACGCGACAATCGGCTGCGCGCCTCCTTTCCTTCGACCTCCCGATCGCCCGTGCTAGCTTCCACAAGGCTCCAGTCTTTCCAAACGCGTTTGTTCTCCGCGTCGTCGTTGCCAATCAAGCGCAGAGTGTTGATCAGAGAGTGTTTCTCTTGTAAGACAGGAGACGCGATCTGGCCACTTATCACGCCGTGGCTCAAAGCTTTCGCCAGGCGGGTTGAGAGTTTCGCCAGCAATGCCGGGCTGGACGATTCAAGCTGTGCGGAGCGTTGTATAGCGTTGATGCATCCTGCATAATCTCCTAGCTCGTACAGTGCAGCGCTTAGATTCGAGGGATACACTGCGTCGGTAGGATCGGCTTTTTCGGCCTGAAAGACGCGTTAAAGAGTGAACGGGGAATTGTAGGGAAACTAAGGGTGAGGACACCTTATAATAGTACTGTGCAGCTCTGTAAAACGCGTCTGTATGGATTTTTTTGGAAGAATGTACGCGTTTCCTACTTACTCGGCTCGTTGCCCATTTTTGAAGCAAGCATTGCCCTTCTCTTTGAGAGCTTTCGCGGTATCCGATCCAGAGGGCATATGCAAACAGTTAGATTGTATAGATCGTCTGTCAAAAAGAGCACCCAAGAATTAAGATAGAGACAAATCCACAAGACAAAGTACTAGTAGCAAAGTAAAAATACAGGCAATGTACGGCAACGGCAACGCGCCGAAAATACCACGTGCATGACCATATAAGGGAGGTAGTGATTGGAAATGGAAAAGACGAAAAAAACAACGCGGGGCCTTGCTGGGATTCGAACCCAGGCCACTTGCACTTGTGGATCCCAAAGCAAGTATGTTGACCACTACACTACAAGGCCGCGAAGGAGGTGCTGTAGTTGAAATATAACATCGGACACGTCCTTCCGCTGCCAGTGTGAACTGTTCGACTGCCACCCACACACGTCATGCACTGTGATTCTACGTCAAAAAAATCACTTGCAGAGAAGATCGCGGCGAGGTAAAGTTGTTTGCCGACTTCCGCAACTTGCGTCTATATGGATTCAAACTCACAGTCGGCCGTACGTCTCATAGTATTGATGAAGTGTCCAGTGTTACATGTTACAAGTGAAGATGCAAAATGTCCGATTACGCCACAGATTCATTTCCCATTACCAGATCAGTTGGCCGCTGCCAAAGCAAGATGGTAAGCCTTAGACCTGAAGTCTTCCCCAAGTAAGATAACACGCACCCATCGACGAGATATTCTCCTCCGGTCATGTAGCTTGCATGGTCCGACAGCAGGAGGATTGCCTGGCCTGTCATTTCATCCGGCTAGCAGTGATGATACAGTCAGCGCGGTGATGACAAGGATGAGTAGTCAGGTTGACCTCCGCAAACCGTCCCAATGGGACACCATTAGCCTGGAAGTCTCTGATCTTTTTCTCCATCCCTGCAGTCTGGTCGGTGTTCACTGATGTTGACGCGTAGCGGTTAGTGTGTGCAGGATGCTGGCAGTACAGAACGCGCACCATAACCCGGCGATACTGCGTTGACGCGAATGCCTTGAGGCGCCCATTCAGCAGCGAGGCCCTTTGTCAGGGAAGAAACGGCTGCTTTGGACGAGTTGTAGAACACCTAAGACGGAGGAGTAATTAAGAATGGCTGGATCCGTTGACAGGCGAGTGTTATTTACCTGAGTAAGAGGCTGATTCGGAGCGAGTTGGTTTATAATACGGGAGCTCATGGAAGATGTGATGACAATGGACCCTTTATACTGATGGTCCGTCCACAACCTAGATTGATAGGAATTAGAGCGTTGTACTGCCATCAAGTTCAAAAGACGCACTTTGCAGCGGCCCGCGCGCTGTTAAACACGCCAAGAACGTTTACCGTGTAAACCTTGTTAAAATCTTCCGTGGTCAGCTCGAGCGCGGGTTTTACCACAGAGACGCCTGCATTCTGGGACGTGTCAGAATTGAATTGGCGAGAGTAAGGGACAAGGAGCATACCGCAATGAGGCCTGTGATCGGGCCCAGCTCTTTGTTGATGGTCTCGAACGTCTGTGTGACGAGGTCCGCGTCGGAGACATCGCATTTATATGCCTACCATTCGGATAGCGCTCAGGAAAAGTTACCAATCGTATATTCGGCATGGTCTTGTACCTTGGTCTTGGTTCCAAACTTTTTAGCGATATTCTTCGCGACGTCTTCAGCATCCTTGGAGCTCCTGCAAAGGAACGATATCAGAAACGAAGATACAGAGCCCTCAGCGTATCAAAGACCTGTATAGGATGGCAACGCTGGCCCCGGCCTTCGCAACAGCTTCACTGTATGCAAGTCCCTGGCATTTAGGTGGTGAGAGACGCGTCAACAAGAGGCGAACGTGCACGTACAATGCCTCGATTCCCTCCAGTCACGACAATACATTTTCCTGAGATCATATTAGCACGAACTGACGCGTCGTTGCTCCCTGCCTGGGTTTACCGGCGAAGTCAATCAAGAAACCTTTGGACGCCATTTCTTAACTTGAAGATGATTGGGGGAGAAGAGAAGGGGGTGATTGAGCCTTCTACGCCCGTGAGGGCCCGCTTTATAGGAAATCTGAGGTAGCTGGAATGCATATAAGTATAACAGCGGCTGCGTTATGGCCGACGTCATGCTGATGTCAATCGGGGGAGGACGAGGAGGAGATGATCAAGATCTTATACACCGCAAAGCCGAAAGAGTATGGGTCCCTCACGGATTATTAACCGCCCGTTTTCCACTTGATAAATGATGGAATCCGCAAGCTGAGAAGCGTGGAAACCGTAAGAAACGCGTACGCGCGATTTTCATGGCCCCGCTGTGCAGACACCACAATTTGCGTTTCGGCAAGTCGGCGGCGGGTCAAGCAGCAGGTAAACGAAGCCAAGGCACCCGGTCCGAAATGCTACGCGCTTGAAGCAAATGTGAAGTGGGACTTTGACTCTCTCTCAAGTCCACTTGTCACTGTCAGGCCGCAGCAGCGCTAATGCTCTTCCGTTCATTGCAACTCAGCCTAGCTCTAATCCTTTCTTGCTCCTCCCTGGCCTTCATTGACACTAGACGAAGCTGCTCGGAGTCGACGTCAGCAATGCCCGCCAAAGGTTCGTCTGACTTAGTTTTGTCGTCGCGCGACGCGGCTGGACGACGCCATCTCCCCCGGGCCAGGAATATAGAGCAACGCAGTATTCACTTCTACATTCATCCCCTTCCTGTTACTGTCTCGTTCTCCAACGACAGCGCACTAACCATACAAGTATCGTACTTACAATCACACCAATACACCTTTTTTCGTTACTGCTGCCCAATTCTGCCAGTCAAATTTTGTGAGCCCGGTGCCCGCTGCAGCCTGGTACAGGTGCTACGTTGCAGTAGATCCTGATCCGATCTACCCAGTGTATGCCACATGTGCTATGGGTGATTTCCACAGGTTGAGACGTGGAATTCACGCGCCCGCACTTCTTACGGTACCCGCGCGGAAATTTGGTTGAAATCACACAAAAGCTTTTCGCGCCATTTCCACAACTCTTTGGCTTTGCGGTGTAGAGTTGAACGCCGGTATTTATCGTTGTTTGCCAAGAGCTTGGCAAGGACAATACACACAAACAATGCTTCGCCCCTGGCACTTTATCGGCATGCGTAAATAATAGTATGTACATTGTCAGTACTATCGGCGAGCAGCTCAACAGTAGTGAACCCGAAGCCTGCGGCCACTTTCAGTCAACAGTCATTAACTGATCATTCCAGGAGCACAAGGGGATATCATGGAAAACAAAATAGAGGAAATAAGATACATCCCTATCACACCGTATCGCCTCATCCTCTCACCACACCAACCGTGACTTCGGCTTCCGCCGCCCCGCCCTCAGCGCCACCACTTCTCCCTGAGCCGAAATGCAACCCGCTCACACAACGCTCCCATGCCCACCGCGTGAGTTCCAAAACGTCGTCATCGCCCATGTCCTCGCGGACATGCAATTCGAGCGTGACGATGAGAGACTGCGCGGGGCCGGGAGTGCTATCGGTCGATGGCGATTCCACCAGTGTTGGCGTGAGCTGCCAGATGTGAGGCGCTGGAAGATGCAGCACTTTCGGGTGCCGTTCGATCTGCAATGCGACGAAGAGGGATCAGTGGTCAATCATAGAAGCGGCGGAGGATGCACTCAGACCTCGCGCATTGCCCGTAAAAATGCCTCCATCCTTCCACCCGTTAGGCCGCGCTCCGGGGACGTCTGGAGTAGTACGGTGCCTAGAACGACACATGCCCGATAGGCTATGTTGAATGTGATGGCAGCTTCGACGGAGGCAAGCAGTAGATCCAGCACTCGATAATTAGAACTGAAATGCATAGCAGTTAGTAAGATTATGCCATGTGGTATGAAAACTCTTACGGGTCAATGAAGGTGGCGATGAACAGAATCGCGACACAGAAGAGCACCGGCGATGCAGTGAATGGGTTAGTGAGGAGCAGTGCGAGCGGCGATGTAGGGGTTGCATCCGTGTATGACAGCGCGGAAGGATATCGAGAGCGGAACGAGCGCAAAAGAGCGGCAGGCAGTGGTATACGGTTATCGGTAACTATTGCTACACGTCAGCTGGGCTCTTCTGGAAAGCAATTTGACGACGCACTGTTGACTAATTTAGTATTATTGTTGAAGAATGCAGCAGTGCCCAGAAGGGAAACGAGTGTTGTCAGTATCAAGAGCGTAGGAAATACGATCCTACAGGGGCATAGTGAAAGTCAGCTACCAACCATGCAGACACATCATGAATGCAAAGTCCTTACCCAGACATGTTAGGGTCCTCATCGCCAGGGTGGTGATGATGGCCCTCTCCAGCGGATAGCAAGAAATGCTCCACCGTCTCCTTGCAGACGTATACAGATGCGAACATAAGATATACAGACTGCGCGAACATGGCAACTGTTTCAATGCGTCCATTCCTGTCTCCGACTTAGCAAGTGATCGCATACATAGAGTCAAAGGATAACGCACCCATACGGACGTCGTATTTTCGACTGCATGTTGCGTCCCGCCAGGTATCCGGGTAAAACGCTGCTCAAGGCGACACCGAACGCGTCGAAGACCACCCAGTACCCAAGTCCCGTGCATGATAGCGAGCCGATTTGTTGCCCGGTCACCCATATCCACGCACCCAGAACGAACTGAGCTGCTGCAGAGGCGGCTGAACCAGCCGATACCGGAGGGACGCTAACAGATGCGACAGGAGCACCCCCGGAATTCAGCTTGTGCACATGCTCAGTAGCCGAGCCGTTTTGCGCAAAGTCCGTCTTCCCGGGACCTGCGGATGCGGGGAACGGTGATATGGGGTTCCACGGCGATTGCGGGGTCGGTGTAGGCTGGGTATGCAACTCCTCCGCCGCTGACCCCGGCTCTAAGAACGAGAAGAACTGGTGCGACATGGAGTGCTTGTGGTGATGGCCTCTCCTTGTCGCTGTTGTCGGCGTGGGCGCTTGCCCGTGCGATGTAGCAGACCCCGGCGGCCGCCCTCCGAATGTGAATCCCTCGAGCTGCTTGCGCTCCGGAGCCCTGCCGCTTCCATTCGCGCTAGGCATCAGTGTCACCGGGGCATCCTGCGCTACCTCGACCTCCTGCCCGCCATCCTCTGCTATTGCGGTCTGCGGGAGCGATCCTGGGCGAGGAAAGAATACGGAGAGATTGCGCGAGTGCATGCGCGAGTGCCGACGGGAGTGCTTAGGAGAGGGCGGTGCATCCGACTCTGGATCGGCAGCACCATTCGGGCCGCTCGGGAATGCAACGGGAGAGTGCGGGTGCGGGTGAGAAGGCTGGGAGGGGAACGACATAGACAGAGGTGACGAGAGCGGGGGAGCAAATGGG